AGGCTGGATCGGGACCAGGCAGCACTGTGTTCTGTTCCATGTGGTACCATGAGTCAGAGCTAACCCAGCAACAGCTAACACCAGCTAACAGCATTGTGCTGCTTAGGTCACGTGAGGTCTCTGTGTAATGGACTTGGTTTTTCGGGTCGTGGCGCAGTGGTTAAGTGCTGAGTTAGTAATCAAGATCAGAAGTGTGATCTTGTGCTTTGTGGGAGAGAGATGTGACTGTTTGCTTCCATAAACCCTGTGGGGCACCTCTGTTCTGTCCAATAATGGTTTCTATGATTAGACAGAGCAGAGGTGTGGACTCGGCATCAGCAGGTTTGGTTTGGGGGTTTGGGAATATGAGAAATTATGATTTTTTAGCTCAGGTAGGAGTCTCCAGGGATGGAAGAGGATTCTTCTTCTATACCAGCTCAGAAGGGTTGGGAGTATTTTCATGTTTTAGGGAGAATGGAGGGGCCTAGAGTGGGAGGACCAGAGCCAGGAATAAACCACCAAATGGAACATGTTGTTGTGATGTGCTGTGGAGTCGGTTCCGACCCATAGTGACCCTGTACAGGGTTTCCTAGGCTATAAATCTTTATGGGAGCAGAAAGCCTCATCTTTCTCCTGCGGAACAGCTGGTAATTTCGAACTGCAGACTCTGAGGTTAGTAGCCCAATTTGTAACCACTACACTACCAGAGCTCCTTGGAACATGGACAAGGGTTTTCCGTGCCTGTCATACCTGGGGTAGCACATGATGTGAAAAAGGGAATAAGAATGGATGTCTGCTACAAAGTTATCTAGAACTATCTTATTCATAGGCTGGAGCAAGGGGTGGGGAACATCTGTCTGCCCGTGGGCCATATAAAGTCGGCGACATCATTGGTCAAGAAAACTGCATTTCCAGCCATCACATTGTTGTTAAATGCTACGAAATCAGTTCCAATCATAGTGACCTTGTATAGGGTTTCCGAGGAGCGCCTGATGAGTTTGAACCACCGATTTTGCAGCTCAAGCCAACCTTGAAGTTAAGTGCTTATCCTATGGCGCCACACCAGGACTCCATAGGTAAAGACAACTAAGGGAAACTGAGTTCTCAACCTAGGCTCACAGCGCCCACAATGATGAATTTCAGGCCCCCTGTGCCTTTCTTAGCACACTGATGGCACTGTAGGATAAGCATTGGGCTGCTAACTGCAAGGTCCACAGTTCAAACCCATCAGCTGCTCTGAAGGAGAAAGATGGGGCTATCTGCTCCTGTGTAGATTTAATCTCAGAAACCCTGAGGACCATTCTCATCCATCCTATGGATTCACTATGAGTCAAAATCAACTCCATGGCCGTGGGTTTGGCTGTTAGGATCCTTTTAGAGTAAGATCTGAAGACACTAAGAGGTCACATGTCACACTGTCCATCTGATCCCAGAGGTATAAAGAAAACGTTACTATTACCTTGCTCCTCCGTCTGTGGTGGTGGTGGGGTGCCGTGGAGTCGGTTCTGACTCATACTGACCCTGTATAAAGTTGATGAGACTGTAAATCATTATGGGGGCAGAAAGCCTCATCTTTCTCTCTTGAAGCGGTGGCAGATTGGAACTGCTGACTTGCTGATCTAAACTATACTTGAATTCCGCCAAGTCAGCCGGCTTCTGTATTGGGTTTTGCAGGAGCTGCTGGTGAGTTTGAACCTCCGACCTTGTGGTTCAAACTGATCTTCCCATCCAGCTCTTTATCCCACAGTGCCGTATCAGGACTCCTGATATAAACTGTTATTGTTGTTAATGCTGTCGAGTCGCTATAGTGTTCCCAAGGAGCAGCTGGTGAGCTTGAACCACTGACCTTGCAGTTCAAACCAACCTTGCAGTCCAGCGCATTAACCCACAGTGCCACTCTAGGAGTCCCTGATACAAACTGAGATGTCTTAACTCATTTGAAATAGGGATCGTTTGGTCTGATTTTGATGCGATATGATTTGAAGATCATATCAAAACTTGAATGTGTGTGTCTGGCTGGTGTGGGGGTAAAGAAACTTGTGTGAGTGTGTTGAGATGGCGGTGGTGTTGTTAGGTGCTGCAGAGTCAGTTCCCCCTCATTGCGACCCTGTGCACAGCACAACGAAACACCGCCTGGTCCTGTACCTTCCTCACAATCCTAGTGACACTTTAACCATGACTGCTGCCCCTGTGCCCATGCATCTTGTTGCAGGCCTTCCTCTTTTTCTCTGACCCAGCATGATGTCCTTCTCCAGGGACTGGTCCCTCCTGATGACCTGTCTGAAGTATGAGCGACAAATTCTTGACATCCTGGCTTCTAAGGAGCACTCTGACTATATTTCTTCCAAAACAGATTTGTTTGTTCTCCTGGCAGCCCATGGCACATTCACTATTCTCCTCCAACACCATAACTCAAAAGCGTTAATTCTTTTACAGTCTTCCTTATTCACTGTCCAACTTTCACATGCATATGAGGCTATTGAAAACACCATGGCTTGGGTCAGGCGCACCTTAGTCCTCAAACTGACACCTTGGCTCGTGAACACTTTAAAGAGGTCTTGTGCGGCAGATTTGCCTAATCAAATACATCATTTGACTTCTTGACTGCTGCTTCCATGAGTGTTGATGGTTGAGCTGAGCAAAATGAAGTTTTTGACAACTTCAGTCTTTTCTCCATTTATCATGATGGTATTTATTAGCCCCTTGGTGAGGGTTTTGGGTTTTTTTTACATCGAGATGCAACCCAATGGAAGGCTGTGGTCTTTAATCTTCATCAGTGTTTTAATTGGTTTTCTTTTTCAGCAAGCAAGATTGTATCATCTGCATATCACAGGTTGTTAATGAGTCTTCCTCCAATCCTGATGCCACGTTCTTCGCATAATCCAATTTCTCAAATTATGTGCTCAGCATACAGGTTGAATAAGTATGGTGAAGGAATACAAGCACAGCGTACACCTTTTCTGATTTTAAACCACTCAGTGTCCGCTTGCTCTATTTGAACAACTGCCTCTCAGTCTGTGTGCTTCTTGTTCTTGTTAGGGGCCATTAAGTCGGTACCAACTCATAACAACTCTATGCACAACA